ATTAAAATTAAAACGGTCTATTTCTATAATTTGTTTGGTTCATATAGAAATAGGAATGGAAATTGGAATCAGCATAAATGAGATTTCATTCCTAAGGGAGGGGGAGGGAATGGTCATTCCACTAGGACTAGGAATGGAAATGTGATTCCTATTCCACCCAACCAAACAGTTAGAATCAAAATGGCCCATTCCAATTCCAATTCCAATTTCAGACCCCTATTCCCACGAACCAAATGGGGTCTTAAACCATTGCGTCAACTGGTGGTGCCGTATGGTCAGGTTAAATAGGTGTTCAATTTAGACATTATGGGTTATCTGGAAGCAAATCGACCGAAATATTTTAGTTTAATCTTTATTTTAAATTTCTACTGGATTTTCGAACATGATCTCAACATATGAACGCATTCATTTAGGAAATGTTAATAAAACTGAAGTAATAAAGATCGTTTATGGCCTCAAGGAATGGACTTTTTTTTTTCTCAACTATAACTATAGTTGATATATATTGAACGATTCGATGGAGATAATGCACTAGGACTAAGTTCCTTTTAAAAATAGTAAGAGGAAATGGTATAATTTCGTTGCACAGAGCTTTAGAGAAGTAAGAGAACCACAACCTGAAAGGTTGATGAATTGTGTAAAGTTAGGGATGCACAATTTCTCAGGGTTTGGTCCATTCATCATGGCCCAAGCCCAACCTTTAGGTTGCGTTTGGTTTCAAAGAAAGGTAGGAAAACCTATTTACCCTACTTTTTCTTATTATTTTTCTTTCAAACCAAACAAAGCCTTATAGGCCTGATCCCCAAAACGTGTTTCAGTACCATAGAATCTTCATTCAATTTTCCTTTTAGGGTGTGTTTGTTTCAAGCACACAGTATACATGTTTCGCTATAGTGAAAAACATCGTTCTCAACCTCTAAAAGCTATTGATAGTCTAGTAGCTGAGATGGCCACTTGGTAACCTTCCAAACGAGAGGCACAGGATCAAACCCATGGAACGACAGGCCAATTAAGTAATATGTAGTATGTAATACCCAAAAGAAAATGCAAGAATTTGATGATACGTTCCCTCGGTGTATACAGGCCAATTAAGTAATAAGGCCCAAGGAGATGATGATGAAACTAAAGCCCAACCAACAAGGCGACAATGAATTTTTATTTTATTATTATTATTTTTTTTTGCAGAGG